ATGTAAACCCGGAGGTCTGGTTTGGGACCCGGCCGTAGGCTCGATGATCCCCAGGGTTGACCCACAGGTAGATAGATCATGCCATTACTAAGGTAGAGTGGTTGAAGCTGGTTCGTTGATTGGTTAATGGAGTTTAAATTCTACCACACGAGGGTCATTAAGGCTGCTTGTTACCTCTTTACCAGCACTGTAAGACATACACCTCACAGTGTATATTTACTGTAAGACATACACCTCACAGTGTATATGTACTGTAAGACATACACTTCTCGGTGTATATACACTGTGAAACACACCTCTCAGTGTATATCCTTTCGAGATATTGACCAAAGTCCTTGTTCAGATGTTCAGAATTCTGTCCTGTGCTACTTTCCATAACCATGGACTCTGTTGCCTCATACATAACTCTCATTCGTACATACATATATACATGTGACTGATTTCCTCGGTTTCTAGTGTTGAAACCTTGACGGGAGAACCTTGATGCTAGTGTAGGGCTCTTGATCGAAATAATGACAGACTTTTAACTTTCTAACCAAAGAAATACAAAGAGTAATAGTAAACAAAGTCAGTGGCGGCTACAGTGAAAAGCTCTGTTCCACAAGGCACAGTACTCGTCCCCATCCTGTTCCTCATCCTCTTAGCTGACATAGACAGAGATGTAAACCATAGCTTCGTGTCCTGCTTTGCACACGATACTAGAATTTGCATGAGAATGTCGTCCACTGAGGACACTGTAAATCTCCAGGTGAATATTAACCAAGTGTTCCAGTGGGTCTTAGAAAACAATGTGATGTTCACTGAGGACAAATACCAGTTACTCCGTTATGGAAAACTTGAGGAAGTAAAAGCTATAACGGAGTATAAAACAAATTCTAATTGCACTATAGAGTGAAAAATATGAAGGACCTGGAAATGATAATGTCAGAGTATGTCACCTTCAAGGATCACAACACTGTCACTTTCACATCTGCTAGAGAAATAATAGGATGGATAATGAGAACCTTCAAAACAAGGGATGCCAAGCTAATGATCCTCTTTAAGTCACTTGTTTTATCTAGACTGGAATACTGCTGTATAATACCTCCTTTTAAGGAAGATGAAATTGCAGATCTGGAGAATGTTGAGAGAACCTTCACTGCTCGTACAAGTTAAGTCAAGCACCTGAATCACTGTGATTCAGATGCTTGGAACGCAGGAACGCGGCCGAGAAAGATACATAATTTACACCTGGAGAATCCTAGAGGAACTTCTCAAACTTGTACACAGAAATCAGTTCCTACGAAATCAAACGACTAGACAGACGGTGCAACATTCCGCCAGTGAAGAGAAGGAGCAGTGAGTGCACTGAGAAACAACACAATAAATGTTAAGGACCCAAGACTGTTCAATAACTTCTCAGCATACATAAGGGGGATTACCAATAGACCCCTGGATGTCTTCAAGAAGGCACTGGACAGACACCTTAACGTCAGTCCCTGACCAGCCAGGTTGTGGTTCTTATGTTAGTTTAAATACGGCCAGCAGTAACAGCCTGGTTGATCAAGCCCTGATCCATCATAAGGCCTGGTCATGAACCGGGCCGCGGGGGCATTGACCCCCAGAGCACCCTCCAAGTAAATTTCAGATATTTTTCCCTTCCTCAGATCAAACTTGATTGTCTTCCAGTTTCCAGACTCCTGCGGTTTTAAAGACTGAGACAGTTGTGCAACATTTGGGAATCTTTATTGAGGAGACGTTTCGCCAGCCAGTGGCTTCTTCAGTCCAATACCGAGAAGAGCGGTGGAAGATGAGTTTGAGGTAATCAGTCCCTCAGCCTGGAGTCGATGTGTTCAGTTGAAGGTTGGCTTACTGACCACCTCAGTACCACTAACTACTTCGGGGTTGAGGGATTGATCTTCACCTCGTCACTGCTTCTGTTGTGTCAAATTTTAGTAATCTGTGTATTCGACTAAAGAAGCGTGTTGTGTAGGTGAGAGGTGCCGAGCCTCTTTCCACATATCCTTATGTGGCCGATTTATAAAAAATGAGGTTTACCAATGGTAAGAAAATGGCCAGGAGGTCATTTTCTTACCATTACCAAATGGCCTCCTGGCCAGACCAACGCTGTTGCTCTCAGTTCCTGTATCTCTTGCTGTATAATGTTTATAATTATAACCATAATTTTTAAAGGGGTGGACTGGTAAGCCAGTGGAAGGCCTCGGTCAGATGACTGAAAGCTCCAGCTGCGGGTCGTCTTATGACTAAGACCCTGTTTCCTGACAAACATTACCTAACCTAACCACCTACGTCTCTCGGACAGTCCTGGAAAGTAGTCTGAAATGGAGGCTTCATCCCTGTAGCAGACTGGCAGAACCTGAATTACGAACTAGGTTTGTGTGTTCGTTACCTTGAACTTAATTGTATCCAGAAACTCAGCAAAAATGACTTGTGATTGCTAGCAATTCACCATAATGACTGTTGTCAACCATGCATGACGATATGTGGGGGAGTCGTGTTGTTGTTGTTGTTGTTGTTGCTGCTGCTGCTCTTCTTCTTCTTCCTCTTCCTCTTCTTCCTCTTCCTCTTCCTCCTCTTCTTATTCGAGTGTAAAGAACATCGTAGTAGTGAAGGTGGTTACAGTGTGCATGATAGCAGTGACTGTGGAGCAGAACTCTTCTCCAGGCTGAGGGACTGAATACCTCAAAACTATGTCTTCGAGGGTCATAGACTGATCACATGGTTTTTTACACCTCTACCTCTGCTGCTGCCTTTTCGATATTCAGTGAGGAGGAAGAAGATTTAAGATGATGACAGTGTTTAGAAGCTGCCCTAATTGCTGCCAGTAACACTTTCCATCAAAAGTCCGGAAGTTACACTGTGTCTAAATTGCTAATCAACAGGAGACCGCTGTAACATGATGTTGACAGGTCTTTCTCAAAGCCAGCTCATCTCACCACAGTTGTACTACTACAGCTACTGCCACGTTCGCGGCTTACCACCCTACTCTTGCCACTATATATACTCGTTTCTGTTTGTACGTTTTTGTTTGTGACGAGTCATGAGACAGGCACACGGAGGCACATAGCTTCTTCTGATAAGAAGGAGTCACGATGTTCCAAGGACTCACCCGAGGACTCGGATTTGGAAATGTGGGGCGCAGTTCTGGCGAAGAATCTGCAAGACCACTCACTGGACTCTTGGGTCAGCCATACCAGCGAAACCAGCCTGGCCATTGATATAGGGATAAATCAAGAAACGCTCATCGTAACCCAGATATACTGGATAGAGAAAGTTGGCAGGTAGCAGGAACCCGGACGTCCTAAAATGTTTTCTTGTCTCAGATCGGGCAAGTCAAACCATCTTCAGGCAATAAATTGAGGTTGATAAGCAAAGGATAATACGACACTCCGTATTCTGCTACAATTTACCTAGAGAAGAAATATAACCTGAAGATATCATTGTTCCCAAATCTGTAAGGGGAGTTTATCCTCACTCCCCGAAACACAGTCCTATGAGATACTGCAGAAGGTGAACGACCTGTAATCACCTCTTGTTCTAGCAGAACTAAAATCCATAGAGCGAGTTACAAAAGTCGTACTACTGTGTTACCCACTAGGCATGCCTCAGTGCAATCCATAGTAACAAAAACATCCTGAAAGTTTAGCGGCTCCGAGCCAAAAATGTTGGTAACGTTCCTACGAGGCAGGTCTTGATCCAACATACAGGACTTCTCCCAGCTCAATTGGATCTCGGTTGCTGGGGAACATACCAGGTAGGACGTGCCATCCACAACCTTTGAGGTGTTTCAGGTACCAGAGGTATAACCATCTCAGCGCACGATGTCAGTTTAAGGGAATATGCGGCAGCTGTAGAGGGTCTCACCAGACCAAGAACTATTACTTCTGTCCTAATACAGAGATAACTGAGAAACGAGTATATATAGTGGGAGGAGTCAGGTGGAAAGCTGCGAAGGTGGTGGTAGTAGTAGTAGTAGTAGTAGTAGTAGTAGTAGAATTGTGGTGAGATGGGTTGGGTTTGAGAAGGACCTATCAACATCATGATACAGCATTCTCCCAGAATGGGTAATATCCTGTTGATTAACATTCTGGTATAGTGTAACTTATGGACTGATGGTGTAATCAAGCACAGCATGAGAAGGTGGACTGAAAGTGATCAAGGAAAAGTTAGCACAAGTTTGTAACAGACCTGTTGACCTTGAGTCATGGAGGAAGAAGGAGGAGGAGTAGGAGGAGGAGCAGCAGGAGGAGGAAGAGAAGGAGGAGGAGTAGGAGGAGGACAAGGAGGAGGAAGAGAAGGAGGAGGAATAGAAGGAGGAGGAAGAGAAAGGAGGAGGAAGAGAAGGAGGAGGAAGAGAAGGAGGAGAAGAGAAGAGGAGGAAGAGAAGGAGGAGGAAGATAGGAGAGAGGAGGAGGAGAGAGAGAGAGGAAAAGGAGGAGGGAGGAGGAGGAGGAAGAGGAGGAGAGAGGAGGAGAGGGAGAGGAGGAGGAAGAGGAAGAGGAGGGGGAGAGGAACAACAGGTATCAGAGGAACTTACCAAGGAGTGAACGAAGCGTACATTTAACCACGACTCTCCAGGAGGTGTGAAGTTATGACAAATCCTGGTTTGTTTCCAGTGGTGTTATTATCATTGCGCAAGTCAAACATACATATGTTGCAATTCTTCACCCTCTTTCGAAATCTGGCAACATATGTATGTTTCCAGATTTCGAGCGAGGGGAGTAAAGAACTGCAACAAATGGGGGGTCGACAATTAAAAATTAGTGTACCTTGCACACCTCTGTGGTGATTGTGTGTACAACTGGATCCTGCAAGACGTACACATGGCGCCGTCCACCCTGCAAAGAATGCATATACAGTATGCTACTGTATACATGGTATTCAATCTTTGAAGATTCATACTTGTGTTACATATCAACATAGTGACTTATGACTAACAGTAGTCAGTTTCTCCAGATATACTCACCAGGTTGACTTATATATTTGGTTTACATCTACAGGTCATCACGGAGTGGTGGTGTTCCTGGGTCATCAACAAGGTGAGGACCTGGCACAGATGGTCGAGAACGGCACTAAGGTCTTTGTCTCCATCACTCAAGGTCAAGATGTCAAGTACAAGGTCACCAACATCAACAGGTAAGTCACTCTTTTAACACTCTCTCCAGCACTCAGATTATTCTCTCTGTCTTGGAACATATGCGAGAAAGATACATCATAATTTACACCTGGAAAATCCTGGAGGGACTGGACCCAAACCTGAAACACCGAAATCACTCAGTATGACAAGAAGAGACTCGGCAGACAGTACAAAATACTTTCACTAAAAAATGCAGGGCGTCATGGAGTTGTGGATGAGCGGAACAAACTCCCGAGGACCGTCATAGAAGCTAAAACGTGTAGTTTTAAATATAGGTTGGATAAATACATGAGTGGTCATGGGTGGGTGTGAGTTGGAAATGACTAGCTTGTGCTAATAGGTCTGATGCTAATAGGTCTCTGCAGAGTAATATCTGAGACGACATGAAGAAGACACCAGACGATTGAAGTGGCCCGTAAGGCTCTGTGGCTAAGAGCTCCCGCTAGTTCAACGGAGGCCACTGGTTCGATTCCCGGGTGAAACATTCGACAGCGTTTATAACCCGTGTATCATGTATCTAGCACAAACTAGTACCTGGTTAGTCGACTGGTGTGGGTCGCTAACCTGGGACAGATAAGGACCAAGGAAAATTGACGTCCTCGAACGCATGACTGGTTATCGGTGCTAACCTCCGGGGTTAAAAATCGAACGAATCTATCGTTTCTGAAGTCCACACTAAGGCTATCTGCTGCTGGGAAAGAGCTATCTACTTTGCCTAGATTAAGGATACTGTGTATAATCAAATACCGGTGGGGTTAGAACCGCGATCAGAGAATCTCAAAACTCCAGACCGTCTGATAGCGGGTTCTAACCCCACCCGTGGTATGGTTTGTTTGCAGTCGTAAGTCAATAATCTAGGTGTGAGAGTCAAGGATAGTGAAGCAGAAATCTCTCTCCACTTTCTGCTGTCTGCGGCTTTGGTGAAAAGAGCTATCTACTCTTGCCGAGATTAAGGACTGTCGTGTATAATCTAGGTGTGAGAGTCAAGGATAGCAAAGCAGGAATCTCTTCCCTACTTTCTACTTCTTCCGGCCACTACGGGCTTGAAAGGGTTATGGAGGAGGATGGAATATATTATATAAAGAATAAAAAGGCACATTACCTTGACTGGAACAATACACAAGTGGTGCAAATCAGACCGAAACGTCGTCTTATAAGCTTTTCTCTCTCCTAGGTGCGGATTATTTGTGTATACATGTATATCATTATTAAAAAAAAAATATGGAATTTGCAGAAGTGGAACTGGATGGAAGACTTGGGTTACAACTGTCTTTACTTAATAAGTATTGTTAGTGTCTTATACTACTGGTGTTACTGCAGTGTCACTCACAGTGCTGCGTGTACCAGTGGCTCTGAAGATTGAGATACTTATGCAACATATGGGAATCTTTATTAAGGCACCGTTTCGCCACACAGTGGCTTCATCAATATTGGACTGATGAAGCCACTGTGTAGCGAAACGTTTCCTTAATAACCTTTAACTTGTCGGTTTTCAAAACCATTTGTCACACCAGTGGCTCTACTGGCTACCACCGGTTCTACTGTGACTGTCACAATTATCTATGTCTACCACTACTGTTGTTGACTCTTTTGTCTCATTGTCAGCTAGTCATCCTGATGCAGTCACTGAACATCAGGAATCTGTTGGTTTCAGATTACCCCCATCTATTGAATGTATATGGCAGTCCACATGGGGTTGTGTGAGGTAGCGAGTGTCCTAGGCAACATCTCGCTTACCTCAGAGGGATTACAAGTGTGCTCCAAACACATGCCATTAAAGAAAAGAAATAGAAGATGAAAGTTAGAAAGTGAGAGGTGTTCCCTGTACAGGCAAAGACGAACTACAGACTTTCCCAAAAGCTGAAGACTTTCTGAAGAACGACAACTCAATTCAAAAAACCACATGCAGTATTGGGTCCTGGCTTAACTTAATGGAACTTGCACTGATGACAACAAGAGTGAAATAAAGCTACAGTGCAGGCCACTGTTTAGCGAATCGGTAATTTGACGAAAGATTGAAAAATTCTAAGTCAAACATGATATTTAACTGGATTTGATCCCATATAGGTACATAATGACTTGCAGTATGAGAGGCTAGAGGATCTGAACCTGACGACACTAGATCGGTTAGCCATATTCTATTGGACTCTCCTGTCTGTCAACAAGCACGCAGAATTTACTTCCGACGTCGTCACCGCTCTAATACACTTTATCTTCCCTCCTCGCTGACGGCCCCACCTTTGACACAGACTCCCTCGTTGACTTTTTGACAGCAACTGATTTACTACACAAACTTTGATGATACTTCCTCTAGCACTCCTCACAGCATTTTCTAACTCTCCCACTGTTGTCCTCTCTACCCTTGCTACTCTATAATCCTGCACTATCCCCTGTCCCGCTGCGCTGTATGACCCTTGTAGGTTTAGCGCTTCTTTTTGATATAATAATAATGACACTAGAGGACAAAATACTGAGAGGAATAGACAAAGTGGGCAGGTCTAGATTTAGAGGCGGGTCTCAGGTACATGAGTTTATAGCTAAAATTTTTAAAAAACATGAATCGCAGAATATTAGGAAATGCTTATTTAGCCTCAGAGTGGTTAGGCAGTGGAATGACCTGGATAACGAAGTGGTGGAGGCAGGGTCCATGCATAGTTTTAAGAAGAGGTATGATAAGGACCAGACAGCTAAGAGAGGTGTGAACACAGTAGTGGCCAGTGGAGAGGCGGGGAACCAGGAGCTGAGATTTGACGTCTGCAATCACAAATAGGTGAGTATATACACAAACATAGTAGCCTCGTGTGTGTTCGTGTACTACCCAAAGTTTTATTTATATACATGTCGGTATTCCCATAATTTCCCACTACATCATCAGCAGTATAAACAAAGTTAATAAAACAAACAAACGCCCTCAGGGGACGTGGAGAGAGAGAGAGAGAGAGAGAGAGAGAGAGAGAGAGAGAGAGAGAGAGAGAGAGAAGAGAGAGAGAGAGAGAGAGAGAGAGAGAGAGAGAGAGAGAGCGCAACACTACACCATGCAGTAGGTAGGTAGGTAGGTTCGTGGGAGGGGCTAATGAGCTTGTGACGGAGGGAAGACTGGAAGGTGTGTGTCAAGGGTTGCCAGCTACACTGCGGCCTTCCTCCTCTCAGGGATCAACTTAATGTATGCTGAAGCAGGTCTTCCACCCCATCCACTTCCCGCACCCACCAGTGATCAACAATACGGAACACTAGCTAAGGCAGGGGCGCGCGCGCGCGCACGACACACACACATCACACACACACACACAACACACACACACACACAACACACACACACACACACACACACACACACACACACAACACACACACACACACACACACACACACACACACACACACACAAGGTGGTAATTGCAGTAATGTACAACCCGCCACAAAACTGCAGGAGGCCAAGAGAAGGATACGACGAGAGCAACAGAACAATGGTCAACACACTAGCCGAGGTGGCCAGAAGAGCTCATGTGGGGAGAGCAAGTTGCTAGTTTTGGGTGATTTCAATCACTAGGAGATTCAGTGGGTAAACCTGGAGCCCCATGGGGGTCCCGAAACATGGAGAGCCAAGATGATGGATGTGGTACTGGAAAACCTCATGCATCAGCATGTTAGAGACACTACCAGACAGAGAGGTGAGGATGACCCAGTAAGACTGGACCTTGTATTCACCATGAGTAGTTCAGACATCGAGGATATCACATACGAAAGGCCCCTTCGAGCTAGTGATCATCTGGTTCTGCTCTTTGATTACATAGTTGAGCTACAAGTGGAGAGGGTAGCAGGATTAGGACAGGATAAACCAAATTACAAAAGGGGGGACTACACACGCATGAGGAACTTCCTGCAAGATGTTCAGTGGGAGAGAGAATTGGCAAGGAAACCAGTAAAATAAATGATGAACTATGTGACAACAAAATGCAAGGAGGCAGATGAGAGGTTTGTTGCCAAGGGAAACAGAAATAAATAACAAAATAAGGCACAATACCGTGACTGGAACAATACATAAATAACCCACACATAGAAGAGAGGAGCTAACGACGACGTTTCGGACCGAAACGTCGTCGTTAGCTCCTCGCTTCTATGTGTGGGTTATTTGTGTATGGAAACAGGAATAATGGGAAGACAAGAACGAGTCCTTGGTTCACCCAGAGGTGTAGGGAGGCAAAAACTAAGTGACTAGACAATGGAGAAAGGTACAGAAAACAAAGGACCCAGGAAAATAAAGAGAGTAGCCGAAGAGCCAGAAACAATATGCACAGCGACAGTACAAAAATGACATAGCATCAAAAGTCAAGTCTGACCCGAAACTGCCGTATAGCCACATCAGGAGGAAAACAACAGTCAAGGACTAGGTAATCAGGCAGAGAAAGGAAGGTGGGGAGTTCACAAACGATCAAGAGGTATGTGAGGAATTCATTGAGATTTAAAGAAGTATTTACAGTGGAGACATGAAGGACTCCAGGAATTCAAAATAGGGAGGCACACCAACAAATGGTGGATGAAATGCACACAACCGAGGAGGAGAAGAAACTGCTATGTGAACTTGATACCTCAAAGGCGGTGGGACCACACATCTCTCTGTGGGTCCTTAAAGAGGGAGCAGAGATGCTGTGTGTGCCACTAACAAAAATCTTCAGCACATCCATTGACACTGAGCAACTACCTGTGGTATGGAAGATGGCAATTGTAGTCCCAGTTTTTAAGAAAGCAGGAGGAGAGTGGTGGAACACACAAAAAGACACAAGCTTATAAACGACAACCAGTATGGTTTCAGGGAAGGAAAATCCTGTGTCACAAACCTATTGGAGTTTTAAGACAAAGGAACAGAAGTAAGACACGAGAGAGAGAGGGGTGGACAGACTGCATTTTCTTGGACTGCTAGAAGGCGTTCGGTACTGTTCCTCATAAGAGGTTAATGCAAAAGCTAGAGGACTAGGCATGCATAACAGGAAAGACACTG